TTATTTGACAGAGAGAGACACAGCGAGAGAGGGAACACAAGCAGGGGGAGTGGGAGAGGGAGAAGCAGGCCGCCCGCAGAGCAGGGAGCCCGACGCGGGGCTCGATCCCAGGACCCTGGGATCATGACCTGAGCCAAAGGCAGATGCTTAAGGACTGAGCCACCCCGGCACCCCTGCCCCAGTTTCTTCTACCTCATTGAAATGGGGCTGTTATCTACACCTTGAAGGTTGTTGTATTTTCTTAATAGTTTTAATTTACAGAGAGTAAAATCTGGGGGGAAATACAGTTGTAGGAGTTTTAACACCTGCTTATAAATATGTGTAACCACCACCACACACAGAATGCAGAACAATGTCAAAGGCCAAAGAATCCCTTTGTAGTTTATAGTCAAACCCTCCCCCCCAACCCCCCCCCAAACAATCACTCCTGGTTTCCACGTAATTTTGTCTTTTCCAGTTGTGTTTTTTTTTTTAATGAAATACCATTTTGTTAGATATAATAATGTTGTCAGCATCCCCAGCGCAGTCTCATTTCTGTCTGCTCAAAGTAGTTACATGGATGCCAGACATAAAAAAAAGCCCCATGGGGCACCTGGGTGGCTCAGTCGGTTAAGTGTCCGACTCTTGATCTCAGCTCAGGTCTTGATCTCAGGGTCATGAGTTCAAGCCCTCCACTGGGCTCCACGCTGGGTGTGGAGACTACTTAAAAAGAAAAAACAAAAAAAAGAAGTCCCATATAAAGCACCTGCCCCATCCCCAGATAAGCTCTTGAGGATTATTTAGAACTTCCCTCCACTGTCTGATCCTTCTACCCAGCCATGACACTTTTCACTGGTCCCTCTCTGATCCTCTTCCCGTTAGGTAACTGAAATGCCAACCCAATGCTTTCATTCCTACTGACAAGGCGTGTGTCCTAGAACGGAAGAAGCTGGAGAGGGGGACGCTTCTGCACAGGAGAGCCTCAGGTCCCACACAACAGGAAGAAGTCCTTCACTGCCACCACAGGTAAGCCAAACCAAAAGACCCCCCAGCCATCACAAGGATGTCCAAGACCGCCTGGCTTAGGGAAGGAGCTATTCTTACCACACATGACTGACAGAGAGAAAACATGACCATGAGAACTGCCTCTGCACAGTGTTCCTTTTTGGGGTGTGGAGGTGGAGGGAGGGTGTGAGAAAGCAAACCACACTGCTGAGATCAATGAACGTTTCCCAAGGGAGCATATGGGTCCCCTTTTGTGCAAGTGAGCAATTCGCACCAGCCAATCTGAGCTGGGGCCCCAAAAGTTACCACTCTGCCTGCTGGACCACATCCAAGCTGCACTAAGGGGGGAGCCAGGACGAGCCAGGCTCTGGGCTCCGTGGAGACACGGGCTTCCTCCAGCCCTGCGGCCTACTGGCTCCGCGATCCTGGGCACCTGCAGCCTCCCCTCCAGACCTCCATCTCTCCATCTGAAAGGGCACTGCAGGACAAGATCAACCTGGAGAGTACTGGCCTCCAGAGGCTGTGAATTCACACGTGAGCATCACTCCACACAGGGAGCTGCCCCTCCCTCCCTTCCTAAAACCCTGGATTCTCGAGCCTCCCTTCCCAGCTGTGACAACCAAAAATGTCTCCAGACATTGCCAAGTGTCCCCTGGAGGGGAATGAGGGAACTGTCCCTGGGGAAGAACAGCTGACAGGCTATTTTCAACACGGCACTCAGCGTGGTCCTTCTAAAATGCTCAGTTCACATCCCTCCATTGCTCCAACAGCTGCACCCCATGGTCCGCCCCAGGGTCCGCACCGGGTCCCAGGGCTGATGGACCTCAGCTCCTCAACTTCTCCCCTTCACCCACTGGGACAGGCCACCTGGGCCTCCCTGTCATTCCTACAGCACAGGGAGTTCATCCCTTACCCCAAGGCCTGTAAATCTCTAGTTCCTCCTACAATGTTTTCCTCCCAATACAGGGATGGCTGGTTTTTCTTGTCAGGCAAATCTAGGTTTAAATACTACCTCACAGAGGCCTTCCCTAAACACAGCCTCTTCCAAACCACCCCCATCCTGCGTATCTCTCTCCTTATCATGTTAGCACACTTTACCTTCTCTCACGGGGTGAACTGTCTTGTTTATTTACCTTATTTGTTTTTCACTTTCTAGAACCAAGCTCTGCATAAGAGCAGGGCCCTTGCTCACCACTCCCTGCCCCATGCCTGAAAGAGCACACAGCATGTAATAGATGCTCAATAAAAATCAAGGATCATGATGGAATGAATCAATAAAATAACTTCACAAATGGGTATTTCCCATTTCCTGTGATAATTTTTCTGAAGACTTTTGCCTAAGGTAGTGCTTTTAAAAAAAAAACAAATGAGGGGCACCTGGGTGTTTCAGTCGGTTAAGCATCTGCCTTCGGCTCAGGTCATGATCTCAGGGTCCTGGGATTGAGTCCCATGTCGGGCTCCCCGCTCAGCGGGGAGTCTGCTTCTCCCTTTCCCTCTACCCCTCCTCCCCAGTTGTGCACACACTCTATCTCTCTGAATAAATAAAATCTCTTAAAAATAAATTAAAAATTAAAAAACCAAATGAACTCCAATGGCGGGAAAAAAACAACCTACTAAGTCAGGGATAAAGACGAGCATTTTTTTAAAAATTAGAAGAGAATTAAAAAAACAATATATCAAAATATACTGCACATAAAGTAAATACTGATTCATAAAACTTTACGTACATCACGTGTGTGTGCATATAAAACATTAAACATATATACACACATAGGATGCCTGAGTGACTCAGTTAAGCGGCCAACTCTTGATTTCAGCTCAGGTCATGGTCTTGGGGTCATAAGATCAAGCCCCTTGACGGCCTCCACGCTCTGTGGGGAGTCTGCTTGAGATTCTCTCTCTCTCCCTCTGCCCCTCCCCGAGCTCATGTGCTCTCTCTCTCAAATAATCTTTAAAAAACAAACAAACAAACAAACAAAAAACCTATAATACACATATATAAGAACCAGGTTACTGGGGTCAAGGGCAAGAAATGGTTGTAAACACCAGCCTAAGGTACTTCAAGATGAAACAACTTTGCATGTCAACAAGCCCCAGGAAATCCCTTACTTGCTCCTCTTACCAATCTCTCTTCATCTTTGTCCAGTGTACCTTTTAAATATTTTGCAAAGAGAGAAGAGTTCAGAGCTCAAGAACCACACACAAAAGAGGACATCACAACTTGCAAGAATATTCATAGTTGCCGCAGAAAGAGACTTCCAAAAATTCCCACTGACCCAAGTTAAGATTCAGGATGCTTCCAGTGGTGGACGTTTTGTCTGTTTTCGTCGTGATGGGTGTTGATGCTTGAGGAGAGAAAGTTTTCGGGCTGCCGGATAAACTCCCTGCTTGTCCCGTCTTTGCAGAGGCTGGTGAAGCTGAAAAAGTATGTTCATTGTTAAAAAATGAATTTACAAATAAATAAATAAATAAAACTTTTTAGGGGGAGAGGAGAGAAAGTGTATTTGATTTCAACAAGGCCCCCAGAGCGCCACAGATGGGGAGCAGCGGGAAGGGCTGGCCATTTATGTCAAGCACAGGATTTACCCAAAATGTTAAACCGTTAAAGCTTCGAAGGAAGAAGGCCTCCCCAGTCATTCTATTAAACACAAAGCTCTAAGACAAATTGGCTAAGCTGCCACTGAAATTGGTTTGGCCCATTCACGGGTGTAAATCTCAAAATAAATAGAGATTAAACCAGCCCCTACCACAGTCCAGATGCAGAGACCGGAGCCAGGCTTACAAATGGCATGCCGTCCATTTGTGGGAGATGCAGGAGCCGGCCTGCATAGGCACTGCACCTGCCAGAGGCCGAGTCGACCCCTTGGGAGATCTCCGGCTTCCCGTTTCAAAGGTTCTGTGAGGCTGAATGAAGCCAAATTCAGCACCAGATGGAGTGAGGGCGTCACTGGTCAATTATCTCCCTCCTTACTATGTTCCAAACTTTTATAGGAGAATAGAGAACCGTACCTAAGCCCAAGTCTTTTAAAAATACCTTACAACTACCTATATACTGCTCCCCTGAACCTCATCCACTGAGCTGGGGGTAGGACAGAAACCACACCATGTGACAAAATGGGAGTGTTCAGATAGGCCATGCCTCCGGGAGATCCTGCCCCTTTGCCTAAATAGCCTGCCATTGGGGCGCCTGGGTGGCTCAGTCGTTAAGCGTCTGCCTTCAGCTCAGGTCATGATCCCAGGGTCCTGGGATCGAGCCCCTCATCGGGCTCCCTGCTCCGCGGGAAGCCTGCTTCTCCCTCTCCCACTCCCCCTGCTTGTGTTCCCTCTCTTGCTGTGCCTCTCGCTGTCAAATAAATAAAATCTTTAAAAAAAATAAAACTAAAAAAATAATAATAAATAGCCTGCCATTACTGGGACTGTGCTGTTACTAAATTCATGCCAGACAACAAAATGGCCAGCCTTCCTCAGACGCATAAGAAACATGGACTTTGCAATGATCTGGTCCTTAAGAGAAGCTGTTGATGGCAAAGGGGTTACAAATCGGAACATCCTGGGGACTTCAAAAGTGCTCAGACACTTTGGTGGATGCTTGCCTCAGTTTGCTCACCTGCCAAATGGGAAGATACTCAAAGTGAGGATCCAATGGGTGAAATTCATATACCTGCTCAGCTCTAGTTCCAGGACCTCCCAACGCTAGCTTTAATGTAACAGAAGGGTAAAGACCAGGCACAGACAAGGGGGAGCTGCAAGCACGTATCGGGAGCCAGACACTGGGTTTAAAGTCCAGCTCTGCAGCTGACTTGCTAGATGTCCTTGGGCAAGCTACCTGAGGTCTGTGAATCTCCTTTCCTGCTAGCCTCAAAGAGGGACGTTGATAACATAATACAAAGGGACTGATAAAAGTACCTACCTCATCAAGTCGTAATGATCAAATAAGCATCTAAACAGTGCCTGGCATCAGTTAAGTACTATATTATTATTTGCTATCAGTGTAGTAGTATTTTCTATTTCCCCATTAACCTCGAGGGCTTTAGTTTCAATCATCTAAACCAGTAGTTTTTGGCCAGGAGTGATTTGGCCATCCAGGACACACTAGGTAATGTCTGCAGACATTTTTGGCTGTCACCACTGGGGGAGGGGAGGGTGCCACTGGCGTCTAATAGGTGAAGACCAGGGATGCTGCTCAACAACCTATAAAGCACAGCCCCCCAAAACAAATAATTATCTTTGGTCTCAAAGGTCAGTAGTGCTGAGGTTCATAAATCCACAAAGGGATGAAGTGGGCTTGTCTCTGGGCATCCTTTACCTCATCTTGCAAATGAGGAGGGCAGGTGGAGATGAGATGCGCTAATCCACGTCAAGTGGTCCTTAGCAAAGGCTCAATCAACACTTGAAATTATTTTGAGAATTAAGTTATTTTTAAATAGTAAATTAACTTCATTTTGCTGTAAGGATGGACAAACGCCTGGCCCAACACCTGATACACAACATTCTGTCCAATGAGAGCGGCAGTCGCTGTTACGAGCGCTGTTACTATGACCCCTGGTACCATAAGAACAAGTAGAACTAGTAGAACTAAAGTACCTGGCCCACCAAAAAAAAAAAGAGAGAGAGAGCATCAAAGGTATCAAAGGTAAAGGCACTGCAAAAGACGTAAGTATATGAGCAATAAAATCTTTAGTCTTGGCGCCTGGGTGGCTCAGTTGGTTAAGCGACTGCCTTTGGCTCGGGTCATGATCCTGGAGTCCCGGGATCAAGTCCCACATCGGGCTCCCTGCTCGGCAGGGAGTGTGCTTCTCCCTCTGACCCTCCCCCCTCTCATGTGCTCTCATTCTCTCTCTCTCAAATAAATAAATAAAACCTTTAAAAAAAAAAATCATTAAAAAAATCTTTAGTCTTGGGCGCCTGGGTGGCTCAGTCGTTAAGCGTCTGCCTTCGGCTCAGGTCACGATCCCAGGGTCCTGGGATCGAGCCCCGCATCGGGCGCCCTGCTCGGCGGGAAGCCTGCTTCTCCTTCTCCCACTCCCCCTGCTTGTATTCCTGCTCTCGCTGTCTCTCTCTGTCATATAAATAAATAAAATCTTTAAAAAAAAAAAACTTTAGTCTTGGGATTTTCTTTATTACTCATTCACTTGTATTCTACCTACTTCCTTCCAAAAGAGATTTGAAGTGGCTGAAACCTCTCTGGGAGGATGAAAGACCAGGGCCTCTCACACTGTATTCTCCTACACAAACCAGCAACCACGTAGAGCAGGAAGGGTCCTCTACTAGCCAAAGCACTGCGTGCAACTGCAAGGCACTTTAACAAAAAAGCCTAACCAGAAAGGGTGAACCATAACAACACATGCAAACGTGCAATTGCACACAGAACTCAACCACGAAGAGTCTACAGTTCCCGACTTAATAATAACAGCTCCCGTGAACAAAGTAAGGAAGGCGGGGGCGCCTGGCTGGCTCGGTCGGAAGAGCATCCAACTCTTGACCTTGGAGTTACGAGTTCGAGCCCCATGCTGGATGTAGAGATTACTTTAAAAAAATCAAATCAGGGCGCCTGGGTGGCTCAGATGGTTAAGTGTCTGCCTTCGGCTCAGGTCGTGATCCCAGGGTCCTGGGATCGAGTCCCGCATCGGCCTCTCTGCTCCTTGGGAGCCTGCTTCTCCCTCTGCCTCTCTCTCTCTCTCTCTGTCTCTCATGAATAAATAAAATCTTTAAAAAATAAATAAATAAATGAAATGAAATCGGGGGGGGGGGAAGTAAGGAAAGAGAAGTCAGCAGGTGGTCTAACAGAGCCCTGCCCCACTTGTGGTCCGGCAGGGGAATTCAGCAAGCACAGAGGCAAAGTTGTTATTTTTGAAATTCTGTAGTTAAAACATAACTGGAACAAAAAGTTTTTAATTTCAGACATATAAAGTTTCCTTTGTTAATAAAACTTAAGTATTAAAGGTTTAAGAAATATGTCCTAACTTTTTTTTTTAATTAAACACAGCACTTGGACATGGCGAAAATAAGGGTGAGCCAGTAGACATGGGTCTGGTTCACTCTCTCCCCAGCCAGCAGAGCCCCCCTCACAGACATCTGGAATGAAAATGCCTCATGTAATTGGGAAAGGGACAGCACTGGGGTCACTCACCTCGGGGGGAAGAGATGGCCCCTGCCCACCCGAGTACCATACGCCCACCTCCCCAATTTGTGAAACACCGTGTACCTGCCTCAACCTCCCCATGTGAGTTAATGCTACAACCACTCATCTAGATGTTCAAGGCCAAACATGTCTACACTGCCTCAGTTACTCCCTTGCCTACCTCAACTTACCCCACTCTTCAGCAAGGCCTCCTCATACCACTTCCAAAATACAACCCCCGCTCCCAGCTGGTCTCCATGCCCACTGCTATCAACCTAATGCACACAGTCTCAATGGGCAGAAAGTGGCTCTTGGGGGGTGAAACACTCTTACTCTTTTTATGTATAAAACAGACACATGGGGCACCTGGGTGGCTCAGTTGTTAAACGTCTGCCTTCGGCTCAGGTCATGATCCCAGGGGCCTGGGATCGAGCCCCGCATCGGGCTCCCTGCTCCGCGGGGAGTCTGCTTCTCCCTCTCCCACTCCCTCTGCTTGTGTTCCCTCTCTCTCTCGCTGTGTCTCTGTCAAATAAATAAATAAAATCTTTAAAAAAAAAAAAAAAGAAAAGAAAACAGACACAGGCAGTACATAAACAGACCTACAGTATTATCAAATTTCACAAGGATCCACTCCTAGGTATATACCCCCAAACAGAAAGCAGTACTCAAATCCTGGTATACAAATGTTTGTAGCAGCACTATTCACAACATTTCAAAGGTGGAAACAATCCGAATGTCCACCGATGTACTGACAAATTGGGGTGTCCGCAGTAGCATGTTACTGAGCCATGAAAAGAAATGAGGTTCAGATGCATGCTGCAATGGGGAGGCCCCTGGAAACATACACTCAGTGAAAGGAGCCAGACACAAAGGCCACAGGTTGTATGATTTCACTTAAATGAAGTATCCAGAATAGGCAAATCCATACAAACAGAATGCAGACCGGTGGTCTCCAGGGGCAAGCAAGCGGAGAGTGGGGGGAGTCCCTGCTTAATTAACAGCATTTTACTTGGGAGTGAAGGAAATGTTTTGGAACTACAGAAAAGTGGTGGTTGCACAATACTGTGAATGCACGAAATGCCACTGAGCTGTGCGCTTTAAAATGGTTAATTTTAGGTCATGTGAATTTCACCTCTGTTTAGAAAAAAAGTCACAGGAGGATGGATAGGAAAACATGTCTAAAATGGCTCCTTACAGGGTCATAATGAAAGAAATGGTTGGTAAATACTGCCCCTGCCCATCATTTCCCACCAACACCCTGTAAGAGCTTCCCACGGGTCCCCCTGCCTCCTGCCACAGCACCCCTCTCCAGCACCCCTCCACAGAGCAGCCAGGCATACCACTCCTCCATCTAA